GGCGGCTCTTGGATTTTTATGTGTGTGTGTTGTCTTTCTTGCCATAGAGTGGAGGAATGAGTCTCTGGTCGATCACGTCCCTGGGATCAAGCTTGGCTTGCAGACTCCAGTGAGGAGGCAGAGGATGTGGTGAGGAGCTTTACAAGCACTGCTTCCACCCGTGGCCTGCCCCTGGTCCCCCAACCACAATCTCATCGCCGCCACTCCCCTCCCCCTTTTCCCCAAAACACGACCCGCAGGCTGTGCACCGCGGAGGACGGCGGCGCGGGCGACGACCACAAGAAGGGCACCCAGACACTGGAGGTCATTGCGCTTTTGATCCAGGTGCACACTGCGCAGCGGGGGACCAAGGCACTCAAGGCGCTGTACGCGGGCGCGCTGCGCATCCGCTCCGCCGTCCCGCACCCGCGCATCCTGGGCGTGATCAAGGAGTGCGGGGGCAAGGTGCACATGGCCGACCGCGCCTGGGAGGCGGCGGCCACCGACTTCTTCGAGGCCTTCAAGAGCTACGACGAGGCGGGGGCCGCGGCGCGCGTGCGCTGCCTCAAGTACTTGGTGCTGGCCACCATGCTGATGCAGAGCGGGGTGGACCCCTTTGACTCACAGGAGGCTCGGCCCTACAAGAACGAGCCGGAGGTGGGGCAATGATGGTCAGGGTTTTTGCCCTTGGGGGGCAGGATTGGCGATATGATGGACTCTATGGGGCCTCGCGCCATGCTTACAGACACACCCATACCGCTGGCAAACGCCCACACTGCCGACAAAGGCTCATCCTCCCAGACTCCCCCCCACACACTCTCCAAAGGTCGCCGCCATGACAGCGCTGGTGGACGCGTACCAGAGCAGCGCCATCCCGGAGTTTGAGCGCATCCTGCGCACCCACCGCGCGGCCATCATGGCCGACCCCTTCATCGCGCAGTACGTGGAGGACCTGCTGCGCAACGTCAGGATCCAGGCGAGTATGGAATGGGGGGAAGGAGGGCGGGGGCCGTGTTTGGGGCCAGGAGTCAGACTGCCGCGCACTGCATCTGTGGGGATGGAGGTCGAGGGGATGGATGGGTGAGGTCGCCCGTGCGGCCGCCACCCAGCCTTTGTGGTCCAAACATCTGCCAGCGGCACTCCACAGGCATCACGACCGGCTTCCAGCGCCATCACCCTTCCGCCACGCAAACACCCCTCCCTTCACCCCCCCAGGCGGTGTCGCGCCTGGTGCAGTCCTATTCGCGCATCCGCCTGTCGGCCATCGGGGAGGAGCTGAACATCCCACCGCCCGAGGTGGAGTCCCTGCTGGTGTCCATGCTCCTGGACGGCAAATTTGCGGGCGCCATAGACCAGGTCCAGGGTGTTTTGACCCTGGACCGCGCCGACCCAAATGACGCCCGGCACGCGGCACTCGAGCGCTGGGGCTGCCAGCTGGCGGCGCTGCAGGGCACGCTGGCGGCGCGCCTGAATGCGGTGTGAGAAGAGGGCCTTGGGACGTAGGCAGTGCTGCTACTTGGAGATTTATCTGACGGCATCTGCTGAAAATCTCATCCAAAAATGGCAGCGCGTCCCATGCTGCCCACGACAACAGGGCCTGTGTACATGTTTACAACGTGGGGGTGTTGAGAGGTACAGGAGATCAGATGTAGTCCACGCTGAGTCGCCCTGGTTGAGGAGGTGGAGTTAAGAATATCATACTACACTAGAAACTGTAATCTATCGCGTCAGGGCCGGCCTTGGAGTGTCACATTGCCCAGGGCCTCTGTCGCCGAGGCCACTGCAGCCTCGTCATCGTCCTCAGAGTCCTCCAGGAAGCTGCTGGGCGTGTCCGATCGCGCTCCAGGCCTAGATGCCAGGGTCAAGGGGGGGAGGGGGGTTTCTTGACAGCTGCAGGAAGGTATGGGGTCCACCTCAGACGCAGCACCCCCCGGAACATAAGCACTGTGTCGCCAACAGCGTCCTTGAGACCCTGCCACAATCAGGCATCGACTGACAAGTCCCCTTCGCTCCACTCACTCGGCGGTGACGCTGGGTGCAAACTGCTCGCTGTCTTCCAGGATCTTCTCCTCGCTCGCCGTGCGCTGATGCAGGGAGCTGACGACGCGGATGTCGTGGGTCTTGCCCTCCTTGTCCACCACCGTTTTGTTCCTGAAGAGGATTTGAGAAAGCAATGTTGGATGTGCAGTACATTGTGCTGCGAGGGGTCCCATCTTGCTGCTTCCGGTGTGGCAAAGACTGCCACCTCAGCCAATGCCTCCCGCGTGCATGCCGAACTCCCACAATTTGAGCCTGGCTGGACGTAGAGGAGGCGTCGCCCAGGCCAACATCCCTGCACCACATACGAGACCGACGCAAAGAACCCTCCTCCCCCCACTTTTGGCCCGCCTTACTTGACATATCCCGGCATCTCGGTGATGAGCAGTTCGGTGTAGGGGATGGGGACCTCTGCGTCGGGGTATGCCATGATCTCGGGCAGGTGGTCGGTCCAGTTTGCAACCTTCTTCGTGCCGTTCTTCCCCGCAAAGGGCCCGATGATGTAGGTCCTCTCCTGCACGCGTAGAAGAGGAGGAGATGGAGTGGAGCAGGGGTGAGGGACTGCAGTACTGTTCGCATGTGAGTGTCCTTGTGGGTGTCTCGTCCACGGGGTGCAGGCACAGTGCAATGTTGGGGACACATTGTTGGCCAGTCATTCCAGCGGGAGGACCCCGGTTGTGGTGACGCTGTCCCACTCTCGCCAGCATACCCCCTTGAAACACAGGTCTGACCCGGCATGGCGCCCCGCGCTTTCCCGACCTTGGCGATTCCCGCGGCCTCGTAGGCCTTTATGTCGGTCATGGTGTTGCCGTAGGCCGCGTACACATCGATGCCCTTGGCCCGCAGGCCCTCGATGTACCTGGCGCAGGGAGGAAAGGAGGGACTGGGCGGTGGGCGGCTCGCTCTCATTGCCAGGCCGACCCCATCCGGAGCTGCGCAACACCCCCCACCGCTCCGTGCAGAGCATACACCCCCTGGCCTCGTAGACCGAGCACTGGGGACTTCCACGTGCTTCCCGACCCTGTCAATCCTTTGAACCCGAGGAGGCCCCACAAACAATCTCCCCCTCCTCCCCCCCTGACCAGAACCCCAAACCCACTTGACTTTGAAGAGTCCCACGGAGAAGTAGACGGGCAGCGTCGGGAGGTGGGTCCTGGTCAGGTGGATGGGCCCCGGCGGGTAGCGGTGCTTGATCAGCCAGGCCAGGGTGAGGTTGTAGTACGACCCCTGGCGCCCGCTCAGGTAGATGGGCTGGTAGCCCTTGGCCGCCCAGGCTCGCACCGCGTGCAGCGCGTGCCGCCGCGGCCGCAGGTCGTACTTGTGACTCAGCTTGGCGTTCAGGGCCGTGCTGGCGCCCAGCGCGTCCAGCGTGAACTGGGTCACCACCTGGCCGTCGCCCACGGTGATGGTGCCGTCCAGGTCGAACACCACCGCCCGCGTGCCGGGCTCCAGCATGAACATGCTGCCCTTGGCGTAGGAGTAGTCGTCGGGCAGCAGGCCCACAAATTCATAGTGGCCTGGAATTTTTGGTTGGAGGTTGGGGGTGAGGGGTGCGCTGGGAGACGTGCAAGGCCATCCTACGCATCCATCCCACTGTCGCCCGTCCCCCGCCAACCACACCTGGCGTGGAGGCGACGCTCTGCGTCACCGGCAGAGGCCCCAGGCGCCCGCCCCCGCTGGTGCGGTGCGTGCCGAGGAAGGCAGGGGCCATGACGGGGTGATCCGCCCAGTGGCCTTTCCGCATGAACATGAAGACGGTGCGGCGCTTGGCGGGCCGGCCCATGCCGTACTCGAACTTGCCGGAGAGGAAGGGCTCCACCGGGTTGGCCGCCCGCGCCTTCAGCCAGCCCAGGCTGTTGGAGCTGCGCTGGACTGCGGCAGACGGGGGGAGGTGGGGAGGGATACTGCAGACAGTGGGGGGAGGTACATGTTTGGGGCTGTTCAGGAGCGACGATGTGGTCGGAACGAGGACTGATGTGCTGCGATGCATCACCAGAGTGACTTCTCAGGAGGCCGAACTCCGTATCACAGGACAAAAGGCGGGAGAGGAGGCAGCGAGTCGATACCTATCTGCGAGCGGTGCACACTTGGAACCCCTCAAAACATCCACAGACACGGGCCCCCTCCGCCACCCCCTTCGCTGCGCACCTGCGTCGTCATCCCCGTCACCCCCACCCGCCGCCGGCTTCGCCTGGGCCACCAGCTCCCCCTCCCCCACCTCCGCCAGGCCGCCCAGCTCCCACATGCGCTCCTGCAGCGCGGCGGTCAGCGCCTGTGTCTTGCGCTCCAGCCCCTCCAGCCGTTCCAGCACGGGGCAGAGGACCATGAGCAGGCTGCGCTTCAGGTCGGCCACCTCCGGCGTGTCGGCGGCTGCGCCGGACAGACCGTCCAGCAGCGCCGTGGCGGCATGCTGGGAGGTGCTGGACGGCCCTTCGTCCCCGGCGTGCGTCAGCTCACTGGCCAGCCGTGCGGCGAGCGAGGCGGGGGGCAAGGCCGGGAGCGAGGCCGCCAGCGCCGCCTGCGCCCCGGACAGCGACTCCGCGTCTGAGGCTTGGGTTTCCAGCGCCGGGATGGGGGACGAAGAGGCTGTCCCGCGCGGCGCCGGGGTTCCCTCGTCGCCGCCGGCGCCGGGACCCGGCCCCAGCACTGCCCAGATGTTGTCGTGGGAGAGCAGGGAGTGGTTGACCTGGCTGAGGTGCTCCACCGCGGCCGTCATGGCCGCGCTGCGCACGACGCGGCTGGTGCGGTGCAGCACCAGGCGGTTCACCTTGGTGTAGGTACCGTCGTCAGAGGTGCCGCGCAGCCAGGCGTAGCGAGCGTGTACCTTGAGCCGCCCGCCCGACTTGCCGGGGCGGGAGCCCTCCAGCTCCAGCTCAAAGTCCTGAGACCCCTGGCGCAGCCAGGCCACGGGGAGGTAGGCCTGCGGGCGGGTAGGGTGCGTGTATGTCAAGGGGGGGGGAGGTTGGTCTGAGAGGCGGCCTGAGAGGTAAGCTCGCTTGCAAAGGGGCATAAGGTGGGATTGCAGGGTTGTTTGCATGGTGCGCTGCTTGGGGAACGGAATACACAGCGGCAGGAGCGTAGATTCCGGTGGGGACCCTGCCTCCAGTCTGAAAGTAGGCTGTCCGGGCCACAGCGGGGGTGCATTTCGAACACCAGTGTGACTCTGTAGACCAGCACAAGCAGTCCTATTCTCATTCAAGGACTGTGGATTAGCGGACACCCAGCTTGCTTTCCCTGGTTCCCCCCACCACCACACACACACACGGAAAAATCCGATTACAACACCCTCACGTACCCGCCCCAAGACGGTCTTTCCTCCCCCAAGCACCGTACTACGCCCCTTCAGGGTCAGGGTCAGCACGCTGTTGCTGAACAGCACGATGAAGTGGAAGCGCGCCTCGCTCCACCAGGCGTGCGTGTCCTCGCAGGTGCTGCAGAACTTGGCCTCCGACTTGTCGCTCTCATCCGCCACAGTGACGTAGGTGTTGGTGACTGAGGACGCGGGCGAGAGAAGGGGGTCTTGCAGGGGTGCAGCAAGTAGCCAACAACTGACACAAGCGTGTACAGGATGGCAGATTCATTGCCTACACCAAGATGCCAAATGTATCTCTGCGCCTGAAGCCTGGGGACCACCACCATGCAGGCATGCCTGCTCAACACCAGCTCCTCCATGTCCAGCGACTCAAGCAATGTTACCCTCTGACGTAATCCCACCTGACGGCTTCAGGCCAGAGGCCTCCTGCACATCCAGTACCAGCTGCCCGATGAACGCGTCGCCCGGTGAGAACTCCAGGCCCAGTCCGATGTCCTCCAGCAGCTTCAGGTCCTGCACCTCCTGCTCCGTCATGGCTGCCTGTCGCTCACAGGAGGGAAGGGCCGGCTCTGACCCGGTCTGCCATGCCTCGTCTCCAGAGATGAAGGCCTTTTCCCCCCACTCCCAGCCCTCACACCTCCTCATCATCCTTGAGGTCGTCAGGCAGCCTGAGCTGGATGTGGCCCGAATTCGTGCGCTTGAGGGCCAGGTGGGTCGAGGCATCGTTCAGATGAACATGAAGGACCTGACTGGCCTCCTTGGCGAGGTTCTCAGAAACCTGGCTGAGCAAGGACTCGGGGTTGGAGGGCACGCGCGTATGCTTCCGGGAGGTGTTCTGGCTTCCCTGTTTGGAGCTCATGCGGCTCAGCTTTCGCTGCTTGGTCTGCTCGTTTCCCATCTCTTCAAGCGGTTTGTCGAATCTCAAAGGGCGCGTTTAGCTCGAAGCTCGCCCAGTGACAGGAGGGAACGCCCTGCGGCCCGGCACCAACAGGAGCACCTATATGATAGCCTGGAGCCGTGACCTCTGCCCGTCTTGTATGATTTCGGTATCACAACTTGAACCACCTTTTTGGGGGTTGCTGCATGTCGTTTACAGCGTCAAGGGTTTCGCATGATGGGTTCCAGCGGATCTCGCGCGGGCTCCCGGGTGGGAGGCGAGATCTCCCTCACCCCCTTCCCCCGCTCCCTGTCCCTGCCTCCGCCCGCTCCATGCGTGCGATGTCATACACGTGCCGCATGGACCCTGTGGACTGCAGCCAGTCCTTGAAGCTGGCCTGAATGGCCGCCATGAGTTCGCGTCGTCGCCCCTCCTCCAGCGCAGCCTGCATGGTAGGGCAGGGTGTTGTGATGATCAGAAGGGAAACAGAGGAGTGGGGAGCAGGGAAGGGACGATTGCCTCCTTTGACCCATGCGGCGGTATGCGACTGCCTGGGATACACGCTGGGCCCTGAAGACAGCGCACCAGCCGCCGTTGTGTGTGTCCAGTTGTTCGCCCATGTCACTCCCGTGGCACAAGGTGCTCGTAATCCACACACCCTATTTGCGTCCCGCGCTCACCTCCTTCACGGCAGCCCGCACCTCCCCCGCTGCCGCCATCTTGGCCTCCCATGTCTCAAAGTACTGCTGCGGGAGGGGGAAGGGGGAGGCCGGGAACTGCGAGCCCCCGCCCTCGCCCGAGTCCAGGAATGCCGACAGCGGGTCGCTGCCGCTCCTGAGAAGAGGGTGGGACAGTGGGGGCAGGGGGGTGTGAAAGTTAATGGCAGCGGGGCATGGCGTGGCAAATGGGCCAGCGTGCTCACAGAGGCACATGCTCGGGCCCGCCGCACCCCAGGCTCCTCATCCGACCCCCACACCCTCCATCTCACACGACGCAACATACAGACACACCCTCTCAAACATGCCATGCCATACTATATCGCCCCCCCCCAGTTCCCTTCTTTCTTTCTCTACACACCTGGCGTCTCGTTGCAGGGGCGGCCCGCCTGCCAGCGGCCCGCCCGCGCCGCGGAAGGGCACCACGAAGGGCACCAGCTTGGCCGGGGGCAGGAGCGACACTGTGGCCGCCCCACCCGGCACCGCGCTGCTGGGCAGGGTGCTGCCGCTGCTGCCGCTGCTGGCGCTGCTGCAGCAGCTGCTGGCGCTGTGCAGGGAGCCGGCGGTGGCGGCGTCCGAGGCCGCGGCCGCGTGCCCTGCCCCCGCGCCCGCGCCGCCGCCGTCGCGGCGGTGCTCCGGCAGCATGGCCAGGGGCGAGTCCCAGAGCGAGCGCCCGCCCGCAACGCCGGCCAACGCTGCGTGGGCCTCCAGGCGCTCGTACCCTGCGTTGTAGGGCGCGAGCTGGACGAAGCGGTTGTCGCCCGCCAGCAGCGGCTCGCGGTTCACGCCCAGGTGCAGGATGCAGTCGTGGCAGGTGTTGACCGTGGCCGCGCGCGCGGCGGCCACCACCTGCACCCGCTCGCAGCGCTCCACGCGCAGCATGCAGCCCACCGCGCCCACCACCACCAGGCAGTCGGTGCAGCAGGAGATCAGGGCGTGGCGCAGCGGGGCCAGCGCGTACACGATGCAGTCGTGGCAGTCCAGCACGCGCGCGGCGCCGCCGGGGAAGTCATCCTCGCCACGCACCACCGTGGCCTTGTGCAGGGACTGGAGGTCGGAGGGGGAGGCCAGGGAGACCAGCTGGTTGAAGGCCGAGGGCGGGGGCGGGGGCGACGCCGCGCCGCCGGGGTCGCCGTACCCCGCGCCGGGGCCCAGGTCCTCGGCGCCCAGGGACTCGGCCAGCCACCCCGCCACGGCCAGGGCGGGGGGGTCAGGCTGGGAGGGGTCGTGGAAGAAGGGGCTCAGCGAACTCAGGCGGTGGGGGGCGTCTGCAGGGTGGGGTGGAGGTATGAGGGGAGAGGGAGAGTTGCAGGAAGGTGACTGCCACGGACGGGCAGCGTACTGGTACGCATGCATGCGACCCAGGGACCCAGTGGGTGTCCACAACACCGGCACCGGGAGGGCTGTGCGGATGAGATGCACTGCATGCGCCCCTAAGTCCCACTGAATCCACAAAGGCGTGGGCTGCGATTGGAAGACACAAGGCACCCAAGGTTCCCGAGTCCAGGTCTGCGCCTGGCGCCGAGGCACCCAGGAGCCGCGCTTGCTCACCCCCCCCCCACCCCCCCATCCACAATCACACCACCAGACAGCACCCAAGCCAGCAAGACAAACCCACCCTGGAACAGGGTGGGCGTGGCGCAGATGTCCATGGGCGAGCCGCGGGTGGGGGAGGCCTCGCCCAGGCCCCACACCTCCTGGGAGGGGGGGCCCTGGGCGATGAGGAAGCCCAGGCGGTCAAGCTGCGCCGCCGACACGCGGCCTGCGGCAGCCCCCTCCCCGCCCTCGCTGTCCATGGCGTCGGGGCCTGGGGTGGCGCCCTGCAGGCCCCTCACGCCCACCGCTTCCAGCAGGAGGGCCAGGTGGGCGCAGACGAAGCCGCGGAAGCCCTTCACCAGCGCCTCGTGGATTGCCAGGTGCTCGGAGAGGTGCTGGCGCACGCTGGGCAGGTGCGCTCGGTGCTGGGGTTCTGGGGAGGTATGGGGAGGATCGTAGGGGTGTGAGGTTTGACCCCTGGGGTTCCTGCTGCCTGTACGGATGCAGACAGGCCACCGCAGATCAGCGTAGGGCCTCGCCATCGCTCAGAGTTGGACCAGGCAACAGCGTGCGGGGCTGGTCAGCACACCCAGTGCTTGCTGCCATCGCCTTCGCCCCCCAGTCCACCCTGCCGCGACGAGCATGCCCTCCGCCGCCGCGCCTCCCCTCCCCTCTCCCAACCATGCGCACGTTGGTCTCGGCCCCAGGCCCGCGAGATGAGTCGCATGGGGCTGGAGGGCTCGTGCTGGGAGGAGAAGAGATCGGCGGGCCAGACGTCGGCTGTGTCGGCCTTGGAGGCGGTGCACAGGTAGTAGGCCACAACGAGGTAGAGGGTGAGGCAGGTGACCTCCACCGCCACCACCTCGTCAGAGTCTGTGCAGGAGTAATAGGGGGGAAGGAGACGAGTGAGGTGGGGGGGCATTGCTGCAACCAGTCCCTCAAGGTCTCCCACCCTCATGCTGGAGTACTGGGCACGCACAGCAGCAATCATGCAACAACACACCCCCCAAGCCCCGCTTTGCCTGGGGCAAGGCACAGGGAGGCCGGAGACTCCACCAGGCCGGACAACAGAACGGTCAGGATCTGGGATGGGGGTGGTCGGGATGGAACTGGGCGTCAGGAACACTAGTAGGCCTAAGGGAGGAGCTCCGAGATCCCGGACACTCATGCCCCCTCCTTGCCTTGGTCTGGGTGGTGGTAATGTCCAAAGCCGTGGCCAGGGCGGGCACCGTGAGGAATCCTGCATCGATACAAGCTGTGATTGAGATGCATTCCGTGATCAGTCATCGAGCGTGCCGAACGCCTGCCTGAGTTGCCTCACCCCTGTCATCGCCACCCTGGTCTGCTAGCTGGAGCAGGTGTCGAAGCCTTCGCTGCAGCGCCTGCACTGAATCCAACTGCACCATCCAAGGAGCTGTGGGCAGGGACCCATACTCTATGACCTCGGATCGGACCGTGAGCATGGTGGCAATCGCAGTGCCGCGCGCCGAGGGTCAGGCCCTGCGCTGAGCCGGGGAGGGAGGTGACCTCTCACCACCAGGCATCCCAGTCAACTTCCTGTGCCCAGAAGATGTGCTGTTTTGTAGGGGCGATGCCCGCGGCGATGGGGAGGTCCATCTGGCTCTCCCGGGATGGGACTCGGTCCCGCTTTCGCGCGCCTTTCCTTCCGATCGCCAGTTCTGAATATGATCTAGGGATGCACCGACGCATGCCGATTTTCGAAACGATCTGAGCATGGCCCCTCGCAGCGGCAAAGCCGTTGTTATCGGAGGGGGAGGATACTTTGGCAATCGGTGAGCTCGAGGATGAACAAGACGGAAGGCGGTTGTTGGCAAGGGGTGTCCACAAGGGTGTCAGCCTCCAAACCATCACAGCGCCGGGAGTACTGCAAAAACACAGACTGGCGAAGCGTTTGGCGGCTCTGGGATACGATGTGGTGGCCCTGGACGTGCGAGTGGAGCCTGCAGCAGGCGTGGAGGCGGTGGTGGGCGACGTGAGGGACGCCAAGCTTCTGCAGGGCATTTTCCAGGGGGCAGACGTCGTCTTCCACACGGCGTCGTACGGCATGAGCATGCGCGAGCAGCTGCACACGGTCATCATCCATGCGGTGAATGTGCAGGGTGAGGCGATGTTGGGATGGGTGTGGTTGCTGTGCTGGAGGGCGCTATGGGTGCGGGGCGATCCATGACAAGTGGGTGCACTCCTCTGGGTTTGGACATAGAACAGTGGCTTGCATAGCCCACGTCGAGCACGCCCAATCCCCTCCCCACCTTTCACCCAGGCACGGACAACGTGGTGGCGGCCTGCATCGCATGCGGCGTGCCCAGCCTGGTCTACACCTCCACCTACAACACGGTGTTTGGCGGGGTGGAGATCGTGGCCGGCGACGAGTCCCTGCCCCTTTTCCCCCTGGACGCCCACTGCGACGCCTACTCCCGGACTAAAGCCTTGGCAGAGCAGGCGGTCCTGGCGGCCGACGGCGCGCGGCATGTTGGAAAGGACGGCGACCCAGGCAGGGGGCGGCTGCACACCACCGCACTTCGGCCGGCGGCCATCTACGGCGCGGGCGAGCGGCGGCACCTGCCCCGCACGGTGGAGAACGCGCGGCGTGGCTGGTACAAATGCACCTTTGGCAAGCCCTCCAGCCTCACCGACATGGTGCATGTGAGCCGCCGTCAGGATGAGGAGAATTCAGGGGCGGGATGGGAGCTATTGTGGGGGAGGTTGAAGCATCCACAAAGGTTCAGGTTTCCAAAGGTCAGACCCAGATTCCCCAAATCCCAGCGCGCCAAATGTGTATCCCCCCCGCTCAGGTGGATAATCTCGTGGAGGCGCACGTCCTCGCGGCGCGCTCGCTGGCCCATGCGAACGGTGGTGAGGCGGCGGGGCAGGCCTACTTCATCTCAGGTGGGAAGCATGGGTGATTCTGGGTGTCTTTGTGGACCTTGCATGGCTGGGCGCGCTGGCCAGGGGTGATGATTAAAGCGACGAGCTCCTCGAGATCTAGAGCATCAACAGAGTTTCCAGCGCCCTGCTCAGCACTCCATCTCCCATCCTGAATCCCACTCACCACCCCATCCCCTCTGCCAGACGGCTCGCCCATCAACATGTTCAGGTTCTTTGAGCCCCTCCTGGTTGGGCTCGGCTTCCCCACGCCCCACCTGCGCCTGCCCCTCCTCGTGGTCTACTGCCTGGCCTGGCTGACGGAGCTGATCTGGCAGGTGGTGCACCCCGTCTGGGACTTTGAACCACTCCTGGTCCGGGCCGAGGTGCTCAAGGTGGGGGTGACCCACTACTTCAGCATCGACAAGGCCCGGACGGAGCTGGGGTATGCGCCCATCTCCACAGACCTGGTACAGTGCGGCGCCCTGGAGTGGTTCCTGGAGCGCATGCCAGAGGAACGCCCACGAGGCAGGGGAGGCAGCGTCCTCTTTGTCCTCGCTGCTCTCATAGGAGTGTTCCTGGTCCTGCATGCGCTCCTGCGCGCCTGAGTTGAGATCCTTCGCCGCTTGTGTTTATCCCTGCCGCCTGCCTTGTGGTCCCCCACGATGCCGATGTGTTCTGTCAGCCTGGCTCTACTATTTATCCTCCCCCCTTATATAAATCTTCATTGCTATCGGCCCATATCGTATTTCTTGTGTACGTATGTCGCGGACCCTTACAACAAAGCCCAATTCCACCCCTCTCACATCGTACACCTTGCTTCCAGATATCATCCTGGGCACAGAAACCCGAGAACGAGTCTTGCAAGCTTTCATAAAAATGGAAGGCAGCTTGGATATATCAGCCACCTTCTACGTAACCTTTTGGTATGCAGCGGAGGGGAATCCTTGCCAGAACCATCTATGAGATGTGTTGACATTGGCCCATTATGATCATATTTCTACCGGATCCGCGGGGTCGGACATGTCCTCCGCGGGCTCCTGGACAGTGTGCCAGCGATCAGCACTCGATCACCCTCCATCGCATACGCATTTACGCTCCCCAAGGTATAGCAACTGTCGTCGCATTGCGTGCAGCGCACTCAGCCCTGCTTCCCCTCTGCCCTGGCGCCTCACCCACGGGGCTGCCTCCTCAGGCCGGGAGCATGCCACCGGCCTGTCATCATGGCGCCAATCCCTTGATAGAACATTACTTCCATGACTGCATTTACACGTGCGCAGGATTTGAGGGACGAGGGGCCTGACTGCCACCGTTAGCGAGGGTTTTGTACCGGGACCGACCCACACCCGGTACTGGCGCCGTGCAGGTCGCGGGACATGCTGGGCTTCGGTCTGGGCCTGGCCAGCATCGCCTTCTGGATGGTGGCACAAATACCCCAGCTCGTGGCCAACTATCGGCGCCAGCGGGCCGATGCGCTGAGTCCCTGGTTCCTGGCGGAGTGGTTGCTGGTGGGTAGGGGTTTCCATGGAGCCCGCAAGGGAAAGGGTGGGGTAGTATGGACCGTGTAGGACCAGGGATGGCATTGCCGCGATGTGTGCACTCCCCATGCACAATTTGCATCCAGGGCGGTGCAAGCTTGCCCCTGCACCATGCCTCACACCCTCACCCCTCCTCCCACCGTCAGGGCGACACCTTCAACCTCCTGGGCTGCCTGCTCAAGGGCGACCAGCTGCCCACCGTGGTGTTCACCGCGCAGTACTTCATCTGCATGGATGCCATCCTGCTCATGCAGTACATGTACTTCCGCGCGCTGCAGCACCGGCGGGAGCGCACCTTTGCGCACCGCGCCCGGCGCCGCCACCACTGGCGGGACGAGGGCGAGGGCCTGGTGGGCATCCCGGGGTCAAACCGCACGCGCCGCGCGCGCGCCGCCGGGGCGGCCGCCGCGGCCGGCGGCCTGACGCTCGCTGGGGTGGTGGCCTGCGCGCCGGGCACCGCGGTACGCCCCGCGGTACGCCCGGGCGGCGCCGCGGCGCGGCGTCTGCTGGGCGGCGGCAGCCTGGCGGCCAGCCGCCCGGGCTCGACGCTCCGGCTGGCCACCTTCTTGGCCCAGCGCCTGCCCCTCTGGGCGCGGGACCTGGGCGTGGCGCTGGGCTACGGCTCCTGCGTCCTCTACCTGCTCAGCCGCGTGAGCCAGCTGTACCGCAACGCGGTGCGGCGCAGTGCAGAGGGCCTGGCCCTCTCCATGTTCTTCGTCGCGGTGGGCGCCAACCTGACCTACGGCGCCTCCATCCTCGTCCGTGCCCACGACTGGCCGGAGGTGCGCGGTGCGCTGCCCTGGCTCATCGGCAGCCTGGGCACAGTGGCACTGGACGTCGCCATCCTCCTCCAGGTGGGTCGTTGTCTCCTTGTATTGGTCTGATAAGTGGTAAGGATTTCTGGGTCTTCTGTGCTCTGGTGAGGTCGTCCTTTGCCATTCCGAGCTGTTCACGCAGAGGGGCAGGGCTGTCCCGGTCGTCACAACAGCCCATCCCTCCCATCCATTTAGGCGCTGGCGTTCAGGGACGGGAAGCCTGCAGCGCACGCAGCGCCCCCGCGGCAATCACCCGCGCAGGCAGCAGACGGCCTTCACGAGCCCCTACTGAGCGTGCCGGAGAACGGACCGGTGCACTACCAAACGCAATGAAACCCACGACACGTGCAGGCTCTTCCTTTATTTTTCCCTGCTGTAGTGTGCGAGCTTGCAAGCAAGACAGCTGTTGAGCGGGCAGCAGGTGTGAATGTAGAGTAGGAAACTCGGCCATGTGTGTGCAATAAGAATTGTCTCTGGCAAGGGTGGTTCGGGCGACGGGAACTCGTGGAAAAACACAAGTAGCAAGCAGGCTGGGGGGGAGGAGAAGGCGGGGGTTGACCGCAGGAGCCTAGGCAAGCAGCAGGGGGATGGTGATGCGAGTAGTCCCACATCACCGAGGTACGGCAGACCTCGGCTTGGCTGTGAGGTGCCTCCCATGTGAATCAGGCAGACCTCGGGTGCTGACAACGAGGACCTTTCCATTCGAGCCAGCGGGACTACCTCGAGGGAGGAGTCTCTGACTGCCTCGCGACACAGACCCTAGAGTCCCTTGGGGCGGAGGCCTCCCGGGAGCCAGCCCGTCAGCCCCTCCACGTCCACGGGGAGGTTGAGCAGCGCCTTGACCCCCCCCGCCATGGCCGCCCGGGCCTTCCACCCGCTCCACCAGGGCCCGCCCCCCACCTCCACCGCCCCCGTCTCCTCCAGGCTCACGCAGTCTACCACCGGCGGCGCGCGCCCCTCCTCCCCGCGCCGCCACATCCTGACGCGCACCTGGGATGGTGTTTGGAACCCGGTGAGTGGCCGGAGTGGCCGCTCTGGCCCCTCGGGGGAGGACGCTTTGGGCACGATCGCCAAGCCCGGGCCAGCAGGCCCCCTCCCCCCACCCTCTCGATCGCAAGCGCCTCACCCTGCCCGAGAAGCTGTCGCGGCAGAAGGGCGCCAGTCCCAGGTCGGCGGTGGGGGCCCGCAGCACGGTGCCCGCCTCGGGGGGGCAGGTGGCCTCCACCAGCGCCGTGTGCTCCGCGTTCTCGCCGTGGATGCGCCATGTGCCCCACGGCTCCACCTCCCACCCGATGTCGCCCTTGTTGGGCACGAACTCGTGGAAGTCGCCGGCCGCGTGCAGCCCGATCAGGCCCACGTCCTCCTCCAGCCCCGGCACGAGGCGGACCCCACGCCGGGCACCTGTGGGGCGGCGTGGGGGGGGACCCATGCCCACGGTGTGTGGAGTGTGGGCACCTGGAGCAGACGGTGGGGCCAGCCAAACAGCCTGGTGCATGCCGCTCATCGGCCACGGGGGGTGGCAATCGGGAAATAAATGGGAGGCACACGAGGCCTGCTGTCATCAGGAGCGACGAATGCAAGGGAGCAGGCAAGCTTCCCCCGCCCCGCACTCACAGACGGCTGTGACGCTGGTGCCTGGGTGGCCGTCAAAGCTGTTGCACTGCACCCAGCACCAGCGGCTGGGGAAGCCGCCCCCCCAGTTCTTCTCTGGCGGGTGGGGAGCAAGGGGTCGTGCGTGGGATTGGGTGTTGGAGGGCACGCGATAGGGGCCGGGGAAGAGAGCAGCAGACTGATGACTGCACACTCATTGACTCAATAGAACGGCACCCTGCTCCGGGGCGTGCCATGCGAGACCGCCACCCAACTTCAACCTCTTGGGGGCAACACCAGCCCGCCCCTCCACCAGCAACCCTCCCGATGCCGAGGCGCTCACCCGCGTAGGTGGGCACGCCCTGGAAGGCGTACCTCTCCCCTCCCCACTCGATCCAGCCCGAGGCGGAGCCGTGCGCCATGAGCACCTGCCAGTGCGGCTCGAAGATGGGCACCGCGGCCAGCCAGCCGGCGGTGGAGAGCTGGCGCTGCCCGGGGCTGCCCCAGCCCAGCCTGGGGGTGACCTGGAAGTCCCAGCGCGCGGAGGCAACGCTGGGGGCGGGGCCGGGGACGACCCCGGCCTCCCGTGACACGATGCGCCCCTGGTGCCGCCCTCCCTGCACCTGGAAGCCCTCGGAGACGAGGGCCTCAAAGCGCTCCGGGGGGCAGGGCGCGGCCGCGGGGGCGCAGCCGGGGCTGGCGGCGAAGACCTTGCCCAGCGCCAGCTCATGCGGGTCCGCCCAGAAGCCGGCGGTGCCCTCCTCGTACTGCAGCAGGTAGCTGTCGTTTGGGCCCATGATCTGGGCGCCCACGCCGCTGGTGGGGCGCTGGGAGCCGGGGTCCTCCACCGAGTAGATGACGGCAAAGCTCTGGCCGCGGCCAGGCAGGGTCAGGCGCCAGTACCACCCCTCGAAGAAGCGGCGGTCTGGGGGAGGGGGAAAGGGGGTGGGGTGGCTGTAGAGGGGCTGGGTGATGGAAGTGGGAGCAGGCATGCCATGCAGCGGGATTGGAGATGATCTTGTTCAGTACAACTTTGCCTTCGTGGCCGCCACACCTGCACGGTGAGGCGGGACCAACCGCACCAGTTGAGGAGGTCAGTGTGCATCACACATGCTCTCCCACTCACCCGATCCGTCGAAATGGTAGCCGGAGTGGGGGGTGGTGGTGCGGGGAATCGTATCATCTGGATCAAATCCATTGCTATGTGCTGCTGTGGATGCTAGCCTGCGCTGTCGAGGGCATCGTCCCGCTCCCCAAAACCTCACTTCGGGTGTGCGCCACCCTGACACACTTGGGGAGAGACCATTGAACAGTGCGGGACGCGCACATGCGGCATTCAGGAGCATCATGTCGATAAAATAAGATTTCACGTGGGCTGTAATGGTGCACCTCGATGGAAGACGCATGTGTGACACCCCCGTGACTTCCTCGTGAGGCCAAAGTGATCTGGGAGGGCCAGGGCGCGGGCGCGACGAAGGATCTCACTCCTCTCCCTGCTGGCGATGGGACGGAGCTGAACGATACTGACATCGAATGGTCGTACTCCCATCTCGATCCGGTATTGATCTGGGTTCGGAGCGACTCCGTCACCGGTTCACCATCGGCTGGGCCTTGATGACAGACATCTTCGTGTATGGCACCCTGCAGTATCCCGAGGTCCTCCGAGCACTGATCGGCCGAGTACCGGACCTCACGCCAGCCACGCTGACTGGGTATCGGCGCTACTGTGTCTCCCAGCAAGTCTTCCCAGCGATCATCCCAGGGGAAGCTGACGACTCGGTGAGTGGACCCAGAATAGGTTTAATGGTTCCTGGACGTGATGTCAGGAGAGAGTCTGCCAAACAACGATGAGCAGGAGGCCGAGGAAACACTCGGTCAGCAGGGCAGGTCCCTCGGTGCCCGGCTACCCTGTCCTCAGCTACCACAGAGGCCGCACCCAACCTCACCCCCTAGGTCAAGGGTTACACCCTGTACGGGCTGAATGCGCACGAGGTCAAGGTGATGGATGAATTTGAGTCGGAGGAGTATGTGAAAACCGCGGGGGCTGTACTCAATGCAGAGACGGGCCGCCCCGAGTCGGTGCTCTACTATGTCTGGCACCCTTCCCTGGAGAGCCAACTGGAGCGGCGGTCCTGGAGCCCCGAGGCTTTCCGGGAGCAGCACCTCCAGGCATACACCAAAATGTGCATCGAGTTTGCAGCCGAACTCAGGTCCCGAGCGCAGTGGTAGGGTTGTTTCTGTCTGCAGAGATATGCATGTGTGCCGCATCTCTTTTGCACTCGAATGTGCGTTGCTGGAGTATGTACCCTCCAAGTTTTGCTTGTACTGTAAGATCCCCCCGTCAGGAAGTACAAGGCGGCAGGTTTCTATGGAACGATCCTTACAAGCCGCTTGACACGGACGTGGCCTGCCATGCAAGCTGCGGCAAGAGGGAGGACCCAGATTAACTCATGTCGGGGCGCCTCAAGGTAGTGCGGAACCACACCCGGAGACCTCGTGTTGGCGCCAGGCCCGGGCTTGGGGTCACAGCTCCAAGTGCTGAGGGGCCCACCTGTCCTGCCCGCGGGCATGTGTCACGTGGACCACCTTCACCGCGCGGTAGCCTGCCAGGCTGGTCAGCTTGATGAACAGGTACATGCCCACAAACGCAGAAACGATGCCCAGGAGGGCCAGCAGGGTCAGGCAGAACCCCATCCGCCGCCTGCAGGTGGGTGAGCGTCATGACATGGGGATGGAGACGAAGGTGAGGACCGAGTCAAAGGCCAGAGTTTGCCAGCGGTGCTCCTGGTCGGTGGCCAGCCACAGCGACGCACGTGCACACTCGCGCACGCCAGCACACACCCAGAGCACCCACCACCGATCGCACTTGCGGTGGATGGCTGTCGCGCCGAGGTTGGAGGCCTTCACCCCCACCAGGCTCCGGTCCAGTGCCGTCTCCGTGGCATCCAGCAGCGAGCCGCGCTCCCTCACCCGCCCCTCCATGGCCAGCGTGTTGGACTTGAGCGAGGCGGCCAGCACCGCCAGCTCGTCGGTCAGCGCGTCCTGGAGCTGGGCCTGGGAGTCTAGACCCCGGTCATCGTCGGCATCAGGGCCCGGGCCGTTGCGGCGGCGCAGGCCCAGGCCCGAGCGCGGGGAGGGGGGCGCGGCCGGATCCGCCTGCTCAGCAGGCTGTGTCTCCTCTGAAATGAAAGGGTCCGGGCCCTGGAAGGTGGCCGGGACTGCAGGCTCCTGCAGGGAGGCCCGCAGCGCCGCCACCGCGCCCCTGTACGCCCGCAGCACCTCCGGTTCCAGCCTGCGCAGGGGGGGGTCCTAGCTGGCAAGCAGGCTGGCGTGGGTGACCAGTTCACCAGGCCTACAATGCATTGGCATGTATAACAGTTCCTCCTCCCCTCAGGCGGAGCCCCGACTCAGCCAGGCAACTCATCGCGAGACACACTTGGCGGTACTTGCCTCGAGCCAGAGACTTTCTGCAGCTCGACCAGCTGCTCCTCGAGCGTTGCAATATACTGAGGAAGGGTTAAAAAAGAGTGTGGAGTCCTGCGTCAGCTCAAGCCTTCTCACTGTGCAAGTGTGGATGGCCTCATGCGCGCAGCAAAGGCTACCCTCATAACACCCAGCTCACGTGGTGAAAGAGAGGCGACACCGGCCAATGGGCAAACTCAGGCTGTGACCTGTCGCTGCCCTGCACAACAGCTTCGCACTCCTCCAGCAGCCGGCGGAAGGAGACCTCAAGGAAGGTGCCGGTCCGAGGCGAGGGCAGGGTGGCCGTGGACATGGCGCCTGTGGCGATCAGGTGGTCAAGCACGGCATTTCCTGGGTAAAAAGGCTTGCAGGATTCACCTTCTTTCAACGAGAATGCCAAGGGTCTAGTTGATGCTCATCTGCAGCCATAATTGCTTGCCGGTCTCCTACTCACGGGGCGCGCGCGCAAGAAAGATCCTAGAAAACACTCGTGCCAGGTACTATGCATTCCCCTCCTATTTTTCAGGGGATTGCAGACCAAAGATAAGGAATAGCAACCATCTCCTTCGTCCTCCTCCCTTGCGATGATGCCCCCGCTGAAGCGGGCACTGACGCCCAGGAAGTGATCTTGCCCGGCACGCCGAACCCTTTGCCTGGAGAGCTTGACCCTCATTTTCGTGTCGCATCCCATAGCATGAGCTAACGTCATCTCTACCATGGGATATTGGGTGTAGTGAGTCTGACGCCAGCGCCGTCCTCTCACGGGGAGCTACCCCTTCGCACTATACTAGAGCTCTGCATGGAGCCCACCGTCTTCCTCTGCCAGCAGTGCAAGACCCGGATCCTCATCTCGGCCTCCGATGCGGAGCCTCCGCTGCCAGGCCCCGGCGAAGTGCCCTCTGCGCTGGAGGAATCGTTCATGCAGCTGGAGGACACTCTGTATGGGCCACGGGGCGAGTCCAGCCCACGTGAGTGGGATTGGCGGCAGTGACGGGCATTCAGGACCGCACCTGGGAGCGTCGGTGCACCTTCAAGGCTCGGTCCCACACACGTTTCTTGGATTGGTTTGTCCCATGTGGTCCTCCATCGAATGGCATCCCCCAACCCTCACCCCAATCCCAATTCCCCGAAGCAGATCCTCCTGCACGGCGCATGGAGGAGTCCTTCGTGGTGCTGCCCTCCGGCACCGCGCGCGGCCCCCCAGCTCCGCCCGCGCCCCGCGTGCCCTTCCACGCCACGCTGCGCGCGCTGACCAACGTCCTGGAGGCCGCCAGCGCCGCCACGGGCGTGGACCACCCCGTCTGCACCGACTGCGCCGCGGACGTGCACCGGGAGCTGGACGCCCAGACCGCGGACCTGCAGGCCGACCTGGCGGCGCTGGAGGTGGCGCTGGGCAGGCTGGAGGGCGCGCCCCCTGACACCCCGGACCCCGCCGCCCAGGATGCAGAGCTGGCCGCCGCTGGCCGGGCCGTCGAGGAGGGCAGGTGGGGGGCTTTGGGAGACTCTTCTGGGTGCAGGGTGGGCCACGAACGAGGGGGGGCGTATGGATTTTGGTCCATGGGTGGTGCCCTGCCCTTCTGGCGCAATGCGCATGGTCCCTCTCTCTCCTTTTCCCTTGGTTCACTAAGACACACAGCCATGCAAACCTTCTTGAACTCCCCCTCCCCCACCCCACACACTCACAACATCACAGAGCCCGCCTGGGCGAGGCGGAGGCGGCGGCCGCGGCGGCTGAGGCGGAGGTGGCCGCGCTGGAGGCCGCCGCCGCCGACCTGTCGGCCGCGGAGACGGCATACTGGCACGAGTTTAACGCGCACCAAGGGGCGCTGGCGGCGCACGTAGCAGAGCGTGATGCGGTGGCCGCGCGGCTGCAGGCCGGCAGTGCCGCGCTGGGCACGCTGCGCCGCGCCAACGTGCTGAACGACGCCTTCCGCATCTGGTTCTCGGGGCCCTTTGGCACCATCGGGGGCCTGCGCCTGGGCCGCACCCCGGCCTGCCCCGTGCCCTGGGAGGAGGTGAACGCGGCCTGGGGTGCCGCCGTGGCCCTGCTTTCCATCCTGGCGCGGCTGGCAGGGGCGCAGCTGAGCGCCGCGCGCCTGCTGCCCATGGGCTCCTACCCGCGCGTCGCCGACGCGCGCGGCACGCACGAGCTCTATGGCCCCGTGTCCAAGCTGCTCTGCCCCAGCTACGACAAGGCCCAGGTCGGCTTCCTCGCCTGCCTCAAGGTGGGCCTGGGGTGGTGGTGATGACGGGCGGGCACCTGGGCACATGAGAGACGTATGGTGCAGGGGCTCAAAGCATGTATGTCCCTAGATTGTGTGAGCCCAGCGTTACCCTGCTGCATGACATGCGTTGCATCATGGGAGAGGGAATGCTCTGCAGCGGTGCGGCAGATGCTTACTGGGCGCCGGCTAAAGGGGATTTGCCTTGCAACGTTGCTGAGTGAGCAGCAGAACTCTGCTGGAGAGTCTGCGTGGGGCTGGCTGACTGCTGTCACACGATGAACGCCTTGCAAGGCCCCACCTGGCACAGGTATTGATCCCCCCCCCCCCTGAACTCACAAGCATCTCACCCACCCTCCCCTGCACCGCAGGAGTATGCGGAGTGGCTGGCGGCCCGGGGGGCCAGCCCAGGGTTCAGCCTGCCCTGGGCAATCGAGGGGGACCGGGTGGGGTCGCAGTCCATCCGCTACATGCTGGCCAAGGACAAGAACTGGACCAAGGCGCTGAAGTACATGCTGGTGGACCTGAAGTTCTGCCTCAAGGCCACGGTCGCGCTGGACAACGGGCGCGCGGTGGGCGCGGCGCCGCCCTCCGCCCAGCGCGAGGACCCGGACTGGAGCCGGGCCAGGGGATGACAGGCGGCAGCGGTGAGTTTGAAGAAAAGTGTGGGGGGGCGCGGTGGAGCTGCTACATGCAGGCCAGTTGCGGCTGGAGACGAAGATGGCAGGGTTCCTTGGGGTGCCAGCGGGCATCACAGACTGCCCATGGACCTCTGTGGCCCGGAGCAAGCGTAGTCAGCGCTGCGTCTGGCTACCCTGGCACGCTGTGTACAACCATGCAGTGGCACGGCGGCAGTCTGCATGCCCGGTCAAGCTCAACTTCCAGTGTCCACAGGCATGCTGGGGGATATCATCAGTCAAGTTGAGGCTGACACTTTGGATGAGTTGGCCTCACAGCATGAGCCTGCCTGGCTCTTCGTCGTCATGGCCTCCCCTGGCAGTCCCCCCAGGGCCGTCCTCATGTCCGCCACAAACTGGCCTATGGCGGTCAGCTGGGCGTCTTGCCCCTGCAACTCACTCGGATGCCCCAGCCTGCTCCGACTCAACACCCTGCTGTACATGTCTGCCACGGCCACTTGCCCCTGCAAAGGTTTGCAGGCGATGCGCTCTTGTCACATTGGCACCGAAAGGCTCAGAGCCGGAGATGTACAGATCATATTGGTCGGATATGGACCTCCCTATGTGCCAGATCCAACTACACAGCCTCAGCGCCTAAGTATCCCACCACCTCACCCGCCACTCGTCCCTCTGCCTGACCAGCTCCGCTGCCTGTGCTGCATCCACCACCGCCTGCAGGGCCTCTGCTCGCTGCAGCGCCACGTGGCAAGAAGCCTGCACACCTGACAGGCGGCTCTGCAGCTCCTGAGCCTGGGCCCGCGCAGCAGCTGACGCTGTCGCGGCGGCTGAGCGGCAGGCCTGGACCTCCTTGAGGGTGGCAAGGTGCTGGCGCATGAGGGAGGAGCCCGCGGTCTGGAGCTGAGAGTGGCGCTCGATGATGGAGTCAGGGGTGGCAAATTCTCCGTTGCTGCTCTGGGCTACTTTGACGAGGAAGTCCTGGTACCTGCTTGCGTTTTGAATCAGGGGAGGGAATAACATTGTATGCATGGGAGCCATGCGCTTGCAGTGTATCAGTCGCCGGCATATCCCTCAAGTGGAGTCGGGTAGCGGGAAAAGACTGTTCAACATGTCTCAGCATCCAGAGCCTGTCACCTCTGAATCTTCGCCAGCTCCTTGCGCAGCGTCTCCACCGCGGAATGTGCGTCCCTGAGTTCGGCGGCTAGGGTTTCCGCCCGGACCCTGGCCGCTTCCTCGGCCGAAGTCTCTTCCTGAACACGGCGAGCAGCACGACTCCTCTTACCCTCATTTTGCTGCAGGAACTGTGCAAATCTAAGTATCGATGCCTGCAGCTCCAGGTCCTTGGTCTTCATGGCGTCCTCCCGAGCTCGCAGCATGCGCTCCTGCACGGCACAGCGATCGCCAACTCACGAGATTGTTTCACAATGACCCATAGGTTCAAAGATATCGACATCATCTTTAAATGCAAGGCAATTTCCCTAACCTGTGCATCGTTGTCCCGCCGCTGCTGTGCAAGCGCGGCGTTGACCTCGGCCAGCGCCTGGCGCAGCCGGAACGGCTCCGACTCCAACGCTTTCCGCGAGCCGACCTCAATCATGGTCGAGAATAAGAGCCCAATCGTAGATACAATCGATCATGAGGGTGACCGTCGGGATTTACACTCTTGATACGTCTGTCGTCCTGATGGTCGTCGTTGCCGGTGCGTGGATGAGGAAAGGCTGCCCGTAGCAACCATGTTACTACTGCGGCGCCTGTATACACCACGTGAAGAATACAAGATCCGCTATGTACATTCAGCAAAATTTCCCAACCATCGATCCAACAAAGGGAACTGCGGTGCGAAGGGAAAGAATAGAACTGCCAACCCTTATGCCAGCAAGGCGTCGATGTCATCCTCCTCCTCCTCGGCCACCTCCGCGGCGCCCCCCGCAACGGGACTCGCCCCGTCCGCAGCCAGCGCGGCGGCCGCCTCGTCCGCGGCCTTGCGCCCGTACACGTCGATGCTCAGGTCCTGCTTGATGTTGTCATCGTCATCCACCACATTCTCAAAGTTCAGCACCCGCTTGTCCACCACGCTGTACTGGAAGTTGCTCTTCACCTGGCCCAGAGGCACAATGCCCAGCAGGTTGTCCAGTGCGTGGGGGCGCAGCCAGGTGCGGGCCGCGGAGTCGCAGCGCGTCTCGTACTCCTCGCAGAAGCGGGCCTCGGCGAACTCGGCGGGCAGGGCTGCCTTGTCCCGGGACTGGGCCTGCTCCAGGGTTGTGCTGAATACGTGCTTGTAGCAGGTCTTGCCGCCTGGGGAGGTAAATGGAGGTGGGAGGTGGGGTTGGAGGAGGTCAGCCGCGAGAATAGGTGGAAAGGTGGTCGGGAGGCACCATGATCGAGCAGCGTCCTGGGATGTATCATGCATCCCGACATTCATCAAGGGGTGAAAAAGAGGAGCCCGGCGGCGGTCAACAGTACACCATCCCCATCCGCCACTGACACTCCAGGGCCGCACCGTTTGCCATGCACTCCAGGGAATTTGCCGACAGGGGTTCAATGATGTACCGATCCACCAGCTTGCCGTCGTCTGTCTTCTCGAAACAGTGTGCCAGGCCCTGGGGGGACAATGGAGTGCGTGTGTGAGCATTGTGTGTTCTGAATGGTGGGGTTATGCATATGCATGCATAATGCCATTAGAGATTCTGAGATATGACAAAGCATCTGCTCCTGAGCTCCATGCCATCACTGCTTCCCCAAAACACATGCAATCCCCTGCCCCACCAGCGTCAAGTAGGCGTCGGTGGGGGTGTTCCAGACAGCGCCGTAGAGCGCGGACACTGCGGCGCTCTGTCGCATGGGTCTACAGCGCGTTGATCTCGTGGTACTCGGGAGCACCCTCGGCACCCGGGATCGCGCAGTGCTCCACGCCACCTGGGACACTGGGCCGGTGCGGCATGCCATCCTCGAGGCCATGCTGGGATTCGCTGGAGGTTTGGGGATCTACAGTTACAACTGCTTGCTTTGAGCCCAGTATGCTTGATGGGTTCATGCTTTTGGTAATGGAACGCGATATCTTCCGAAATCTTGTGCATGGCAAGTGCATGCTGTCCATGCTGCCTCATCCAATTCTCTGCAAACCCGCGAAATCGGATCAATCCTCGCATGCAGTGCATGTGACTTTCTGCAGCGTCACAAAGCCAAACGTGGCTGTCAATGCTAGCCATTGTTAGAAACTTCTGACAGACAGCTGATTTCTCCCCAAGAGTGCATGACGTGACATCCTGGCCTCCCTGTCGACGGCATTGGTCACCCTCGCCAGGCGCAACCTCCGAGAGCGTGCTACTGAAGCGTGGCCACCATGCTGAGCAACAGACCCTTCACGGCAAGGGCTTACACACCCTCCAATCCGGTTTCGAGATGTAGACCAAGCACGGTCTCAAGCGTCGCGGCGCCCCAACAGGCGCACCCAGGCGCCAGCCAGGCGACCAAGGACCCCCTACTGCTTCGTGTCGCCAGAGGAGAAAGTGCGTAGCTTGGCAGGGTGGGACATTTCTTGGCCTAAATGTGTATCATGATGCGGCCTCCGTGCGAGATCCTAGGATGCCCCCAAGGTCGAGAGGCATAACTCAGGTGACGTGCCAGCCCTTGTCCAGGTGGGGAGAGGACCCCGGTCTGGCTGATGCGGCAGGCGGGGCGGTACATGGCCGCCTTTCGGAAGTGAGTGGTAGGGGCGCGGAATGTGCTTGGGGATGTGGACCCCTCTGCAGGGACTGGCTGGCGTGTGCACAGAGTTGCTCTCAGAACCACCTGCTCCTCGGCACGCTGCCTGACCCATTATCCACCCGCCTCGTGCGATGCACCAGTCTGCCTTGCAGACCCCATTCAAACAGTTGTTCCGCCAAGTCCCATTCCGCTCTGTGGAGTCTCTGCTTCTCCTCACCTCTCATCCCAATTCCTCTGCCCACACCCCCATGACCTCCCCCCTTCTCCCCCCTCCCTTTCGGCAGGTTCTCCGACAAGTATACTTTCAGGGAGCGGTCCGAGAACGCCGACATCGCCACGGAGCTGAGCCTGCAGCCCTGGCACGCTTTCCACCCCGACGGCGTCATCATGTTCTCCGACATCCTCACCCTCCTCCCCGCCATCGGCGTGGAGTTCCAGGTGATCAAGGGCCGCGGTCCACTCATCGCCGCCCCCCTGCGCGACGCCTCGGCCGTGGCCGCACTGCGCCCATTGGAGGACCCCGCGGCCAGCCTGCCCTTCGTGGGCGAGACGCTGCGCAACCTACGCGCCGAGGTGGGCGACGGCGCCGCGGTGCTGGGCTTCGCGCCCACGCCCTGGACCCTGGCAGCCTACTGCGTGGAGGGTCGCGCGGACCGCAACTGCCGTGCGACCAAGACCATGATGCTGCGCGACCCGGCCCTGCTCGCCTGCCTCATGGACAGGCTGGCCGACGCCATTGCGGCGCACCTGGAGTACCAGGTGGCCTCGGGGGCGCAGGTGCTCCAGCTCTTCGACTCCTGGGCGCACCACCTGACCCCCGCGCAGCACGCCGCCCACGGCGCGGCGCAGACGGAGCGGGTCCTGCGCCGCCTGGCCGCCTCCTGCCCCGGCGTGCCGGTCATGCTGCACACCAACGGCTGCGCGGGGAAGCTGGCCGCGCTGGGCGCGCTGCCCGCCGCCGCGGTCGGCGTGGACTGGCACCAGCCCATGCGCGACGCGCGCGTGGCGCTGGGCGCCGACGTCGTGGTGCAGGGCAACGTGGACCCCATGCTGCTCTTCGGCAGCGAAGCCGACGTGCGCGCCGGGGTGGCGGCGTGCCTGGAGGAGGCAGGGCCGGAGCGGCACATCATGAACCTGGGGCATGGCGTGATCGAGGGCACGCCGGAGGCCAGCGTGGGCGCCTTTGTGCAGCTGACCAAGGAGCTGTCGGCCGCGCGGCGGCGTGGGTGACGGATGCACGGCGTGTTCGTGATGGGAGACGGTGCTCGGTGGGACGCATGGCGGACAGCCGGCGGGCAGGGCAGCAGCCTTTCGCGCAGGGAACCTTTGGTGGGCAGGGGACCCCGCAGTGCAGTCATGTCCCAGCACTGGCTGTATGTAATCTAGGGGGAATGAGGAGCAGCACTGGCTGCTGTCAGGGGATGGGACAGAGTATCTGGATCGACGAATCAGGTCACCCATGGAACTGCCAAGAGCTTGTGGGTGCGAGGTGACAGGCATGGGCGTGTGGATGTTGGGATTCCATGCATCCACCCTCAGCACACCCCCGCACACCTGGGGCGCGCTCGGGCTGCATCGACTGAGATCGGTTTAGGGGCGCGATGATGGGGTGCAAGTGCGAACACCTGTCAAGCTTCCGCTCACAATGCCCCCTAGAAGCAAGCAATACACTCGCCAGTCTCGTACATCGCCTGGCAAGCAGCGTCGAGACGCGTGGCGTGATATATCAGCATGGGCCAGCCTGCATGCGAGGAGGGAAACACCCTGCTCCAGGCCCTTCAAGCGGAGCGAAACAGGCTCCATAGGGCGGTGTGCAAGCTCAAAGCGTCCAATGCGGAGCTGAAAGCAGAGCTCGACAAGGAATTTGACCGCGACTACAAGGAGGCCATTCAGGACAACATCCCTGTCATCGCAAAATACACGGCCCGTGTCGCATCCCTGGATGAAGAGATCGCCGAACTCCAGGCAGGGAGGCAACGAATATCTGGACCGGAGGTACTGGTGTCGACGATGAATGTTACCCCGGAGACTGGCAGGCAGGAGGCTCCTGAGCAGCAGGCCTATGAGCTGTAGATTGCACTGTTTTTCTGCAAGATCCTTCCTTGCACTATTTATTGCTCTGCTGCATTCAGATGTAAATGGACGTGATACTCAAGTGCTCTGTAGACCATGTGTTGCAAAAGGCAATGCACAGCTCCAGTGTTCCATTGAGCGGGCTGCTACTTTTCAACATCCAGAGTGGCCTCAGGAATACAAAATCGCCTTGACTGGTCTCACAGGCTGTTCATCTGTATCCGCAGTGAGGGGAGCTCTGATATCAGGGTTCAGAATTCCATTGCAGGGAGTATAAGAGGGTCACTTCATGTAACCCTTCCACCCGCAAATCCCGTGATTCGTTTCATGTCTCCGTGAGACCAGCCCCCCTCAGATATCCATGCCGGGCTACCGCGCAAGGCTTCATCATTGATCCACAGATACGCGTTTACCACCATTCACGGGTAGAATTCGAATACGTTGGTAATTGAGGGCATCCAGCCACAAAAGCTTGCTTCCGGGGTGCAGCTCGCCATGCGCTGCTCAGCACAGCTCAACACCCGGGGGCCGACCCTCCCCAACTCTGCGCGGCCGCGAACGTGCAGGGTTGTGAGTGCATCAGCTGCACCAGTGCCCTCTGCCTGGCCAGGCCGTGTCGTCTTGCCGGAGAAATCCGCCTCCAGGACCGGACCCAAGGCACGTCCGATCCGTCCCGCATTGCAGCACGGACCCTGGTGCATTCGCCTGTGTTGCAGCGCGACCTCACGGCGTCGACCCCCAGTCAACCCAGCTCCGCGGGGCACCATGATACCCGCACTCACCAGCCTCGCACCAACCCATCCCCTGCACCCAGAAATTCTCGCTCCTGGGCTCCACCGGCTCCATCGGCACCCAGACTCTGGACATCGTGGCCGAGCACCCCGACCGCTTCCAGGTGGTGTCCCTGGCGGCGGGCGGGAATGTGGCCCTGCTGGCGGAGCAGATTGCGCGCTTCTCGCCGTCACTCGTCTCGGTGCGTGACAGTGGAGGGGCGCGGGCACTGGAGGCGGCGCTGGACGCCGCCGGGGTCGACCGTCGGCCCGAGATTCAGATCGGCGCGGCGGGGATCGACGCGGTGGCGGCCCACCCGGAAGCGGACGCCTGCGTGACGGGCATCGTGGGGTGCGCGGGCTTGCGCCCGACCATGGCCGCCATCGAGGCCGGGAAGGACATCTGCCTGGCCAACAAGGAAACCCTGATCGCGGGGGGGCCGACGGTGCTGCCAGCCGCGGCCAAGCACGGCGTCAGCATCCTGCCCGCCGACTCCGAGCACTCTGCTATCTTCCAGTGTCTTCAGGTGGGAGGAGGGGTGGACGGGGTGGGTGGGAGGATGGGTGTAGCGGAGGAGTCCAGGGAGGCATGCTTGTTGCTGAGTTTGAGCTTGGGATGAACCTCTGAAGGCCCTATCTCTTTACCCCCCCCCCCCCCCTTTTTCGTTTAAATTCTTGT